TGAGAAGTTAGGATCCTGAGCTATCCAGCAGTTTAGTTACATTCCCCATACACTCAATAGGTCCTGAAATGTACTTCGACACATCTTTGTTGTCCAAAACAGTAACAGGAGACCTGCTTAGGTGTTATTTAACTATTCTCAAACTCGGCTGAACAGTCTGTTTTCAAAACATATGTAATGAAGGGCAATATGGCGAAAAAGCATGTAAAATGACTCCTAGATGAAGCAATCTTAAACTTGGTGCTGCGTGCAGGGAATCTTTGGCCCTCCTGATGAGTTCAGTTTCAGCTCCCAGAAATTCCAGCCAGCCTGGCCAATGGTAAGATATTGGGGGGGGGGGGCTGGCAGCGAACATTTGGCGCACCAGAGGTTATCCACCTCTATCTTACATAGTTATTAGTAGCAGGATTTGAAAACACTATTTTTGAAGCAAAGAACCATAGCTTATCTTCTAGAAGCCTGGGGTATCTCTCATACACAGTTCACCATCATGGAAGGAAGAAGAAGAAAAACCCAAGACACCAAAACGGAACCTTAAAGACTAACTTCTATATTCTAATGTGAGCTTTCAGGGTTCAAGCCCACTTCCTCAGACCTAAGAATGGGACTGTACGACTGTCAAATTTATACATGGTCCTATGACCAGGTGGGTGTACAGATAATGGAGGGCCACAATATTTTTGTCTCTTTGTGTTTTTTTATTTTGCCTTTTTTTTGTCTGATATATTACTACAGACTAACATGCTCCGTCCTCAAAAACTACATCTTGAAAGAGATACTCCGTGCTGTGTGAAAGACATGAGAGGATGTTTCTTCAAATGGTACCTTGCACTGAGTGCCATTTAAAAAATGGTTACTGTGTATAATGAGTGCTGCCCATTTTAGTTTTGAAAGCATGTAAAAATGCGAGTAGATAAATAGGTACCACCACGGTGGGAAGGTAATGGCGTTCCGTGTCTAGTTGTGCTGGCCACGTGACCATGGAAACTGTCTACGGACAAACACTGGCTCTACGGCTTGGAAACGGGGATGAGCACCGCCCCTTAGAGTTGGACATGACTGGACATACCTTACCATTCTTAATTGCTCAAGATTTATAATAGATTAATTTACTCAGAGGGATAACACATGCTAACCTCCTAGCCATCACAGAAGGGGGTAGAAGCCCCGATGCTCATAAGGAGGTATTATCTTGTCCATATTCAAAGGGACTTTCCAGAACTACTAAACAAATGGAATATATATCCAACTTGAAAAAAAATTAGAGTTTCTTTGCAACTTACTCTTTGGAGGTTAAAAAAAAACATTAGTATAGTGTAATGCTCAGTGGCTCGCTGCTATTTGACTGATTTCTGTCTTCCTCGTTCTGCCCTCCTGTCTTTGTCTAGGGTCCAAGATGAACGTATCTCCAGCTGAAACTAGCACAAGTCTCAGCTTGTTCAGGGAGTGGGGAGGGTGTTTGCATGGTAGCTTCAGAGAAATATGAATAGGGAGTGGGCGAGGAGAAGGAAGAGTAAACAGAATAAGCATTTTGTGCTTTGCAGCAAATGCCCTGCGGTAGTTGCCAAAAATGGTGGGAGGAGAGCATTGAGTATTGTGACAATACAGGTTGAAACATGGAGTCGGTAACAACAAGCTGGAATCTCAAATAAACTTGAAAAGCCTTCTGTGATTATATAGCTAGAAGAAACATCACGACCTAACGATGAGACATTTTGATGAGAGGTTTAATGGCCATGCCTCCCAGCCATGCTGAGGTGGACAGGGGATGGTGTTTTGACAATAACTCCTGTTTCGTGTGGAAGTCACAGCTAGAAATTACAGAAAAGTGTATTATTTGCCAAGATGCACTTAAGTTATTATTTTGGTTCTTGTGAGAATCTGCGTAAACCACTGTAGAAATTAATACACGTTGACTGTGTAAAGTGTTCTTAAAAAACAACAACGAAGTGCTGGCCTATTGCCTAAGTGCCCTCCAAAGACATCTTGTATAAGCAATAAGAATCCAGGAATTCACAGTAGGAGTGCGAGCCCTACCATTATGCCTAGTGAGGCAAATCACCTCCAGTGGCAAATTACTGGAGGACAGCAGCAGCCTAGCTGGCTATTTGTCAGGCACGCGCACATGCACACACACACACACACACCCTACTGTCAGAAAAGAGAGCTATATATGCTAGTCAGCCTGTTCCACTACTTTCAAGGAACCTATTCCATCACTGGTGAAGTAAGAATTGACTAGCAGTCCAGCTGGCTTCTGTACCTCAGATGAGGAGAGATGCCATTTTGTCCTTTGCATTGGGGCTCAGAATATCTTGAGCCTTCTCTGCACAGTGCCTCATTCCCAACATCATGAGGAACAGGCAGCACTTTCACTGGAGGTGGGAAAAGTCGGAAGCTCCAGAGGGTGGTGCTGGGGGACAGTTGCTCTGTCCCATGGCGTTTATGTCATGGGGTTCCTCAGGGCTCGATGCTGCCCCCCATGCTGTTTAATATCTACATGGAACCGCTGAGAGAGGTAATCAGGAGGTTTGGGCTGAGGAGTCAGCAATATGCTGACGACACTCAGCTCTACCTCTTGTTTTCCACCAATCCAGGTGAGGCTCTTCCTCTCGTTTTCCACCAATCCAGGTGAGGCAGGTTTTGTGCTGTACTCATGTCTGGTCCTAATAATGGACTAAATGAGGGTTAATAAACTGAAACTCAATCCAGACAAGACGGAAGTGCTGCTAGTGGACAGGTTGGGGGGGGGTCATTTCCCTGCCCTGAATGGGGTTACACTCACCCTAAGGGACAGGGTCTGCAGCTTGGGGGTGCCCCTGGACCTCAGTCTAATTCTGGAAGCCCAGGTGGACTCGGTGGCCAGAGGTGCTTTCCTTCAGCTGCGGAAATTATACCAGCTATGGCATGAATGGTGGGGCCGCTAGGGAATATATCAAGCCGATTCTGTTTAAATTACATTAGCTACCAGTTGCTGCCCGGGCCCAATTCAAAGTGCTTGTTCTGACATATAGAGCCCTAAACGGCTTGGGCCCTGGATACCTGAAGGACCGCCTCCTTCCATATGAGCCTACCCGGCAGTTAAGATCTAGCCAGGGGGCCCGTTTGAAAGAGCTGTCCCTCAAGGAGGTAAGAGGGATGGCTTGTAGACAAAGGGCCTTTTCGGCAGCTGCCCCCAAACTATGGAACGCCCTCCTGACTGAGATTTGTCTGGCGCCGACGCTGATGACATTTTGGCGCCAGGTCAAAACCTTCCTGTTCCAGAAGGCTTTTAATTGAATTAATATCAACTGTGGGTCCTGATGACAACTTTTAGAATATATATTTTAATTGTATTTTCATTGTTTTATCTTTTTTACTGTATTTTAATCGTTGTAAGCCGCCCAGAGACCTTTGGGTAGTGTGGGCGGCATATAGGTTAAATTAAATTAAATAAATAAATAGAGCCCATGCTTGCAGAAGGTCCCAGAGCCAACCCGTGGCATCTCTAAGGCTAAAAAAGAGTCGGCCACATTTCACACCCTGAGGGAAGAATCCATCTCAGGGTGGCCATTTTCAGCATTTTCTACATGATCATTAATACAGAAGGGCAACCAGACCAGCAGCTCTGGTTCCTGAATCATTTTCTATCTTCTTCAGCAAGGCACAGATAAATGTTATGATGCATCTTAGGCTTTGTGAGTGACTAGGCACCTAATAGCACGTGAAGTTAAATTTGACACTCTCAGCGTGATGCAATATTTTTTAAAAAAAGTAACAGTAAGCAGGGAATTTGAGGGGAGGACATTCCTTTTTTCGAATTAAGGCCCAAGAGAGGAGATAAGCTCATACCATAATATTGGCAAAAATCACACAAAAATACTAGGATGAGTCACAGATAACGCCAGTTCTTGGATTAGGCAGGCTCCTTGGAGGTACAGTTCTGAGGCATCATGAAAAGGCAGAAAAATGTTAAATCTTTTTATTATTTGAGGAGGGGGGCAGAGAAAGAGGTCCTTGTGGATTTTCTTGGGTGCCAAAATTACTTGGTTGGCTTAGCAATGAAGCATATGGTGATAAGTCAACACTTGATTCAATGGGTCCACTACAAGGTTCCCGCCAAGCTGGGCATGTGCATGATTCTGCTTCCCTCCGCGCAGCTGTCTTCCTCGTCCACACAGCAGTCACGTTAGGTTCTGGTTGCAACGGAACCGAGCGCCCGGGAGGGCAGAGTTGCATGCATGCAGAGGTGGAGTTGAGAGAGAGAGAGAGAGGTGGAGACCCAACCCAGCAGGGCTGAAAATTGGAGGGTACGTTGGTCCATTACCAATAAGAAACTACAGTAGTAGGATTCTGGCCAATGTGTGTGGTTAGGGACCTGATCTATTGAAGAAGATAAGGATTTGTTACAAACTCATACTTACAATTTAGATCCTCATCTAGTCAGAGTGGATGGTGTCAGTGTCTTTCTTTGTTTTTCTCTTGCCCACAAATACAAACAGGAAGAATCATAAGGCTCTGAGGAAACCAAGATTTATAGAAAAAAAAAAAGAAGATAGGAGATCGACAACAAAAACAAGGGAAAAAAAGAAGAAGAAGATAGGAGATCGACAACAAAAACAACCCCCTTAGCTCGCTTGGTGAACATAATGCTTACCAACTGTTGGGTGGGAGAGAAAGGGAATTGAATATTTTGAAAGAAGCTGGTTGGCTGGAAACTCAAATGGGAGCACACTCTGACACTTCCTTGCCGTCCCATTTTACTTTTAGGAGTAAACCATTCTTCGACTTCTGTGTTCCACCTGTTTTCATTTAATCCTTCCATATTCTCACTTCCTGTCTTGTGCCTTCCCCACCCCTCGCCTACCCCCACCCCCAAACTGTATCAGGTAATGGAAATAGTTCTTGCAGCGCAGTAAGGGCATGATCCCCCATGTTGCTGTTCTTCCATCTTTTGATGGTAACAATCTGACCGTATCTCTCTTTGTGTGTGTGTATGTCTCTGTGTTTTCGTTTTACAGGCTCGCACATCACTTTATCTACCCGCAGGCGATTGTCCAGCCCAGTGTGGTCATCCCGACCCCTGTCCAGTCCATCACATCTCCGTACATAGACTACACAACAGCGAGCCAGGCCTATTCGCAGTTCACCGCTGCTGCCTATGACCAGTATCCATACGCCGCCTCTCCTGCTGCTGGTTTCCTGGGATATGGCTACACAGGCGCTGTTCAACAACCGCTCACGGCTGCCAACCCTCCAGTGGCTGCCCCCACCGCCTTTGTGCAGTATCAGCCTACACAGCTGCAACCCGACCGCATGCAGTAGAAGCCGGCAATGGGCTCCCTCACCACCTTCACCGCCCTTACAAAGAAGACTATGATGGAATGGAAAAGTGCGGTGGAAGATCTATTCAGTGACAGAGGAAAACAAACTTTTTTTTTTTCAAAAAAAGAATGATTTAAAAGAGGCAGTCACAACACAATGTTATTAGGAAGAATGCCTATGGATACCTAAGCTATTTATAGTGTTACAGGCAAGGTTTTTTTTTTTTTCAAATCCTTGCAAAAGAAAAAAAAGACACTAGTACCAATGAACTTTGGAAAGCTCTCTGGGGCTTTTTAAAATCAAGACACATATTGCTGCAAAGATGAACTAGAAATGAGTTTTTCTCTTAGTGAAAACTGCATGTTTTCACACACCTGTAACAGTCTTATTCCTGTCACTAGTAGTTCTTCTCTCCTTTTACCACTGAAGATGTTCCTTATGCACTGCGCCTCTTCCCCCCCCCCCAAGCTCTACAGACTGGTCATTTGCCCTTTCCCACAGAAGGTACTCAAAGAATACAGAACCTTCTTCTTCTTCTTCTTCTAAGTGCAAACGCTTTCTCTTTGGGCTTGTAAAAGTTGGTAATACTCAGATGCCTTACAGGAAAAAAAAAGAACTTATTTTTAATATTTATTATGATCTCTTTATTCACAGGAGCTGTGAATCGCAGATGGAAGAATAGTAATATCTGCCTTGTTTAATTCTCAACTAAATTATTGTGTGTAGGTGGGAAAAGAAGTTGCTAAGTAACTGCTAAATCACTTTCAACATGCAAAAAAGGGAATATTGGCTTTAAGGACCATGGGATATTCCTTTAGTCAACGCACTGTAATTTTTCTTATTGTTAATTGTTACTCTTAAGATTATTTCAAAGTTTTAGGTATATTTTTAAAACAACAAAAAAAAGGAAGTTAAAAAAAGAATATTGCACATATTGTCTACTTTGATAGATCTTTTGTCTATAATGCTGCAAAGTCTAGAGAAATTTTACAGTATTTATATAAAAGCGACGCGAGGTCATGGGCTGGTAATGAATGCTTAGGAGAATATGGCAGGCACAGATTAGAGTTGTAAAATGAATGGTGTTTACACACTTGAACAAAAGGATTTGAAACATGACATTTTTAATCCCCATTGGTACAAACTGCTGGTTAAGTAGAAGCCAGTGTAAGTTAAGTGCATTTTTACAAAGAAAAGCAATAAACTATTTTGATTTTTAAAACAACACTGTGTTGTACCTTGGAACCCTGTAAAAGACAGGGAAGTGACGGGGGTTGCCCTGAGTGGTGTGTAGCAGATGGACTGTGGCTGTCGTTTAATTTAAAAGCAAAATGTTTGTTATGGAGATGTGGTACAGCTGTGGTTGGGTGGGTGGTAATTTGCAGGGGCTCTGAAGAAGGATGATCTCCCAAGGTGGTGAACCTTTGGCCCTCCTGATTGTTTTGGCTCCAAGAGGCCAACAGTAAAGAACTGTGGAATTGTATTCCAAAATATCAGGAGGGCCTGAAGACAACAACAACACTGAATAACATCGTTTTTAAAAATGGAAGACATATGAAGTGCCTCAACAATGAATGAATTTGTGAGTGAATGAATGTTGTATAAATATGTGCTCAAACATTTTTAATATTGTATATAATTTGTATGCTACATTTAAGGTACACAACATTTTGGAATGGTTTACACACAAAAATGGGTTCCCAACAATCTAAGTTTAATTTCTTTTAAAAATGCTTGGGAGAGAAGAAAACAGAAGACAGGGTCAAAGACCAGTAAAACAATCAGTCTTGAATTTAAAAGGTTTTCAAATGTTTGAGACAAATAAAAACGGCATTGCCTGGTCTTGATACATCGTCTAAATCGACACGGCATGGGAAGTGTGTTCTGGATGAGATGCCACAGCACAGTCCTGGGTCCCCAGTCAACCGAAATGCAGAGAGCCTTCTAGCAAAGATTTCAGCACCCGCGTAGGTTTTTTGATGGGACGAAGCAGACCTTGAGATATTTCAGTCTGTGGCCCGAATCCATTTGGGATGCAATCTGACATCTGATTATCCTGAGTGAGTTCCCACTAAAACGGGCTATCTTTTAAGTAAATATGAAGGTTTGCAATGTTAAGGGTACCATTTGAACAGGGCTTGAAAATAAGCTAGGAAGCCATGTAGAATTACTACTTGGATGGAAAATTTCCCAGAAATGTAACATAACTACTGATCATCCTAACTGTAAGATTCTGGAGGCTGGAGTCAAAACAGCAATTTTTCCTTCTCTGAAATTTGGCACACGTGTTTACTAAATTCTGGAGGTTGGAGTCAAAACATTTCTCTGAAATTTGGCACACGTGTTTACTATCAGTCTTCCTATTAAATACCAATTGTTTTAAGAAGTGTTTTGCACCACTGGTTTGGCTTCAGTGAGTTGTGAAGGAATAGGGAACTTATGAATAGATGGAATTGTCAGGAGATCATGACAAACAGTAAGCTTACCCTGAAGTGAAGGGGACAAGGGAGACCATCCTGATCAATGAAAATACACCCTAATGCCCAGCAACTCTCTGAAAGTGCCTCATGGCAAGGGAGAAACTATCTCTTGCTCAGCAACCATTGATCCACATTGCTCTTGAGTCGCTTCATTGCAACAGCTCTATGGAGACAATCCTCTCAACACAGATCTAAGATGGCAAACATGGTGAGCTTCCATAATGGTGTCTTTTATAGCACATGTTTAATTAGCCATCTCTTCTTTTGCCAACACAGATGTTTGACCAAAATATTTTTAGGGTGTATGGGGCACTGCAGCAAAATATTACTTTGTCACCCACCTCTTTCATCTGTGTTCTCTTGAGGAGAATCAGTTCCTCTTTGCCCCTGTTTTTCTAGTGTTTTTCATCTAAACATTTAGCATTCTTTGTCTACTGGATGTACTGAGGCCTCACTGCATTGTTTTGAGTTCCTTCTACTGTTTGTGTAAACATATACACATGTACACCAAGCTTATTGTTAGCACAACGAACAGCGGCAAACATCTAAGTTAACTTCTAGGTTTAGTCCCTAAAAATCAGAATGGTTAGCAGAGCACACTTCTTCCTTTGGAAGTAATCACATCTACCCTTATAGGAAAATATGAAAGCTAGTGTTTATTAGATAATTATACTGTATTGGCTAGAATCCTACAGGTAAGTCATGGGGTGAATGGCAGCTAAATAACAAAATGTCAGTCATGTCACTTTGTTAACTAGCTGAAATTTGCTACAATGCTTAAGTGATTGCAATTACTCTGGAATACTGAATAGGATTCTGGCCAATGAGATAGGAAAGATAATATGAATCCTAGTTCTGGCTAAAGTGGAGATGTAGGGAGTCACCTCTCGAGAACAAAACCACCACCTCTGTCCTCTAGAACAAGAGAGGGTCAAAGGGAAAGGAAGTAACACCTAGTTAGAAGGAAGGTCAACATAGGTCAGAATATAATAAATCTGAGAAGGTCCTTCTCTATACAGTATATACTTCTTTCCATGCAAAGCTGGTTATTTTCTTCAGTGAAGCTGAATTGTATTCAGTTACCTCCAGCAACCTGTCTAAAGAAAGTCACTCTCAGAATTGAATGTATCTACACATTTGTAAAAGTACTGTACAGTCCCTTCTTAACTATTCTGTCTCCATTCCGTGATCCTCAGTTCGGTGAGGTACTTACAAGTATCTGTTAGAGAGCTCTCTTGAAATCTTAGCAAATTAGAAATCCCAGAATTCTAGAGAATGGAACCAAGACTGTAGAAGCAGAATCAAACAGCTCTAATTGCATGTTGTGGATAGATGCTCAGTCTGCTGTCATAGAATATGCTGACATGGGACAAACAAATTAAGTCCATGAAAAGTTGACAGCATTTCCTAAAAATCAAAAATGATGGAGCTGCATGTCACAAGTTACTTTTTTGGCCATGGAAGGACAATCAAGTTACATTTCAATAGTATTTTAACAAGCAAGGATTAAGTTACTTTATTGGTCTAACGAGGAGTATTTTCTAGTTCGTTTCAAGTAGAATATGGATATATTTAAGCATCTTAAGAGCCATTTTGACATGCATTTTCCAAATTCCATGTTGTGCTTTTGGTTAATCCTTCCCTCTTCCCAAAAAGCAACAAATGGTAATGAAAAAGGTAATGTTACACAAGTAATGTAATTGGTTGCTTTTTAAACACTATACTGTAATAAGTTCCAATGAGGCCTTACTTGCTAAATGCTATAGAAGTAGCAGGCACAAATAACTTCTGAAAAAGGAACTTTCCCAGTCTTTGTTAATAGTGCTTTAGAGTGCTTTATGGCAGCCAAAACAATAGCATCTGATGAGATAGTCACTTAACACTTTCCTGTCCATGCATTCTGCTGAAGTGATGGAACTAAGAAATATTTATTATGTTGTAAGCTTTCCTTGAGTAGAACCCTTTCTGCCGGGAAGATGAAGCATGATCGGCAGTTGGCATGGCTACAGAGAAACAAAGTTCACAATTAAGGAGACCAGCAGAATGATAAAATATGAATGTTCTGTCCTGTTTCTAGGAAAATTTCAAATATACTGTATATGGTACAAGAGAAGAACAGGATTCTCACTCAGTAGACTTCTTGTTTGATCCATCTGGGCTCTTTTTACATTTTTACTTTGACACACTGGACAGCTGTGCTCTTTCTAGGCAGGCAGAATCTTTTAAAAAATCCTTGCAAATTAATATTTTGGAGGTGACTCAGAGATGGGAGATGTGGACAAGAGGCTAGGAGTAATAAATCACTAGATTTTTTTGCAATGAAAAGGGTCCTCTTATCAGTCTAAAAACGTCATGACACTCCCTAAACATGTCAATGAGCCAGGCTCCATTACAGTTTCTTGACACTTGCGTGCATAATGGCAATAAGATGCGCGTCTATAATTCTACATTTCAGATTAGTAGTATGCATTGGATAAAATCATACTTTGTGAAGCACTAACTCTTTATCTATGAGGTGAAATCAGATACTTTGCCTTTATGTAGTCTTGTTTTTCTGGGGCTCGTTAACAAGATGGAATGAAAACAACAACAATCCCTAAATTGTTTGAGACTAAGAAATTGATTTCAGTGTGAGCT